TGATCACTCACTCCTTCACTCACTTACTCACTCACTCACTCACTCACTTCTTCAATCATTCACTACTTCAATCATTAACTCTTTACTCACTCACTCATTAGCTCACTCACTCCTTCACTCACTTGCACACTTGATCACTCACTCCTTCACTCACTTACTCACTCACTCACTCACTTCTTCACTCCTTCACTACTTCACTCATTCACTCCTTACTCACTCACTTACTCATTCACTTACTCACTTCTTCACTCACTTACTACTTCACTCATTCACTCCTCACCTACTTACTCATTCATTCGCTCACTTACTCCTTCACTCACTTACTTACTAATTCATTCTCTCACGAAGAAATTGTTTTGGGCTTCGAGCATGCTTGCTCGTCGCCCCAAGCCTGGCCATCTCGACTGGGCATGGCATGAGTGAGTTTCCAAGAAACGCTGGCTTTCGAGGAAGATGTTTTTTCATAATTGTTGAGCCTACGTCTATTTTGAGTGAAAGCGTTGAAAAACAGGCCTTACCAGAGTCTAATCTTCTCCTCCAAATCAGTGCCTCTTCGTGTTCCCTTTCCTTCTCTTCGTCCAGCTTCCTAGTGCTACCTTCCTGCAAGTCATCAAGAGGAATTGGGGCAAATTTTTGAGAAAATGGAGCGTCAATAGCATGAATAAAGAAGCAATAACGCTTTCTCCGATCATGCTAGAGGATCTTCCTACGCTCTCTGCAGATCAGTTTTTTGTACAGTTTTGTGCTCCTGTGGCAGTGTTTGTGTGGAGAAGACTTGTCCACTCATACAGACCCTTCTCGGTTTAGTATTTTTGGGTGATTTTTTCGTGAATAATGCCTTCATCGTGCTCGTAGGACGACGATGAGCTGAGGTTTTCATCGCATATTCCAATAGACAATAGGCCAAGGCAACCCTCCTGCCGCCAATCTACCAATCCCCTCGACTCGTCTTCCCAAACGAAATGAAAGGCACGCCAGCATCAATCCATTAAAGCAGTCTTCGTGACCCAGCTTCTCTTCACATCTTGCCTGAACTGGTTTCATCACCACCTTCCATACAGAAATATGATCTGGGAAAGGCCTCGGCCCGCTTGAAGTTCACTTGTGCCCTGACTAGCGGAAGCCGAGTTCGAGTCCAGCTGTAGGCGCTGACGAGCCCAGGTCGGGCCAACTAGAAAGTCAAGCTCCCGGGAACAGCTTCCG